CTGAGCCTGGGGGTACTGAGCCTGGGGGTGCTGTGCTGGGGGTTGCTGAGCCTGGAGGTCCTGAGCCTGGGGGTGTTGCGCCTGGGGGTGCTCTTTCTTCCCAGCAGCTATGTGAGTGGTACTCTCGGTACTGTCGCCGCCGCCGTGGTGCTGTGGACGCTGGAGGTGCTACTAGAGCTGGAGCTGAGGACGCTGGGCCTACTGGAGTTGGTGTAGCTGTTGACCCTGGGGTTGGCGCTGGAGGTGCTGGAGCCACTGGTCCTGGAGGTGCTCGTAGTGGCGGTACTGGAGCTGCTGGGACTGGGGGTGCTACTGGAGCTGGTCCTGCTGGAGGTGCTGCTGGTGCTGCTGGAGGTACTGGAGCTGCTGGAGCTGCTGGTGGTGCTACAGGTACTAGGGCTGGTGGTGCGGCTGGTGCTGGTGCTGCTGGAGGTCCTGGAGCTGCTGGAGGTGGTACTAGTGCTGGTCTTGTTGGAGGTGCTGCTGGTTCTGCTGGAGGTACTGGAGCTGCTGGTGGTACTGAGGGAGTTGGAGCTGTTGCTGGAGGCTCTGGTGCTCTCTCTGCTGGTTCTGGGGGCACTTCACGGCCACACCCGTACTTGGTTCTTGGTCAGCCGCCTCCTCCTTATCCTGCTCCCTCCTTAGAGTGTCCTCCGCCTGTCCAGTCGCTGTCACAACTACCGCCTGCCTCGCCACTCCCTGGTCCTTCTCCCTACACTGGTCCGACAGGAGGTCTTACGGAGCGTCGTGAGCCTGAGTCTCGTCCTGTGTCGTCTAAGTCTCGTTTTGCGTCACCTGTTGTGCTGCTCGCACTGGTCATCGTGTCCCGCGTCAGCGTCCTCCTGCTGTCCCAGGCACTCACCAGATGACGCTTCGTCCTTCCACTGCTCCACAGCGTGTCCTGCTGCCTTCTCCTCCTGCATCCTCTCTACCTGCCATTGCTGACCCGGAGTGTGACTCTCTTCGTACTGCTAGTCCTACTGTAATGCATCTCCTGGCCTCGTCTGTCCTTCGTCCGTCGGGGGTGAGTGTGCTCTTGACACGGACGTCCTTGAGGACAGGCAGGAGGAGTTTGAGTGCTTTGCCGCTGCTGTACCTCATCTCGTGTCCATGCCGATTGCACCTGAGGGAGACCCAGATGCACCAGACATCCCGACCCCGCGCTCTTATGGCGATCGCGGGTGAGTACTCCTCTCAGTGGCAGACAGCCATGGACACAGAGATGGCATCCTGGAAGTCCACTAGCACTTACGTCGACGAGGTTCCCCCTCCTTGGGCGAACATCGTCATTGGCATGTGGATTTTCAGGGTGAAGCGGGCACCAGGTTCTCCGCTTGTCTTCAAGGCTCGTTACGTTGCTCGAGGCTGGTACTTGGACAGTTGCTGCGGACAGCACATGGTGGGATCCACACGATACGTCTCAAATCTGTGTCAGAATGAACAAGAGTGATTGAACAAGGAAAGAGTTGGGTACAAGAAGGAATCCCTAAACTTCCTGTACCCCATAATAATTACCTCACTACAGCCTAAACAAACTGTAGCAAATATAACATTTGACACACCCCCATAAGCAAAGTGGGGGAGAGCAAGGGGTCACAAGACCAGTCAAGAGAGGCAAAGCAAGCTCAGGGTGGATCACAACGTCACCACACACTCTGAGCACGCCACAAGTCCAGTTCACATGCAGAGCCATATATGCAACACAAACAGGACAGTGATCTCTACCTAGCAAAGCAAGCATGCAGGTATATATATGGATCACAGTACAACCAAAGCCTACAGCAGGTGAGGAAAAGTGGGCACAAGCCCTAACATAGTGCAGAAACGCTGATGATCACCAGACTGAAGTGCCTTGGTGAATATATCAGCAATGTTGGCCCGAGTGGCCACATAACGCAGACGAATCTGACCACGCTGCTGCAACTCTCGAGCCAGGAAGTAACGCAGAGCGATGTGCTTCGTTCTGTTCTCCAGTCTGTGCTCCTCACACAAGGCAATGGTAGCCTTGTTGTCGACGTACAGCACTGGAGTAGAACGAGGCCGCTCTCCCAAGTCAGTCAGCAGGTAGGTGAGCCAGCGTAACTCATGTGTAGCCGTGGCTGTGGCGTAGATCTCAGCCTCACAATTGGAACTGAGAACTGAAGACGAGCGTGTAGAACGCCAAGAAGCTGAACCAGAGCCAAGGCTAAAGGTGTAACCATGTAACGACCACTGAGTAGCCTGGTCGTCAACCCAAGAAGCGTCTGAGTGCCCAGTGAGAACAACTGAGCTCCTCCCTCCAAGCACGAGTGCACGTGTGCCCAGACGGGTCGTCACCTGGCTACCTTCACTCGGCAGCCGGGGTCGGACTTGTACACACTGACCACTAAGTCCCCTCAGGTAGCAGCGTCCGCGTCTGCGTCAGGTCAGTTGTCCGCCCCCTGCTCGTATCGCACCCTGTCGCACCGGACGGTCCTCTGGCACCACCGCCTTGGGCACCCTTCGATGCAGCACCTTCGTGGCATGCACTCTCGTTTCCTTGTCTCTGGTCTCCCCAGGTCACTGCCTCCCCTGCCACCGTCCCCTGCCCCTCCTTGCCTTCCCTGTGTCGAGGGGCGGCAGCGTGCCACTCCTCACTCCTCTGCACAAGCAAAGAGCCATACGGCCAGTTCACATGCAGAGGCATATATGCAACACAAACAACACAGTGATCTATACCTAGCAAAGCAAGCATGCAGGTATATATACGTATATATATATATATATATATATATGGGTCACAGTATAGGCAAGCCTACAGCAAGTGAGGAAAGGTGGGCACAAGCCCTAGCATAGTGCAGAAACGCTGATGATCACCAGAATGAAGTGCATTGGTGAATATATCAGGGGTGTTGGCCTGAGTGGCCACGTAACGCAGACGAAGCTGACCACGCTGCTGCAACACTCGAGCCAGGAAGTAACGCAGAGCGATGTGCTTCGTTCTGTTCTCCAGTCTGTGCTCCTCACACAAGGCAATGGCAGCCTTGTCGACGTATAACACTGGAGGAGAACGAGGCCGCTCTCCCAAGTCGGTCAGCCGGTAGGTGAGCCAGCGCAATTCCTGTGCAGCCATGGCTGTGGCGTAGATCTCAGCCTCACAACTGGAGCTGAGAACTGAAGACGAGCAAGTAGAACGCCAAGAAACTGAACCAGAGCCAAGGCTGAAGGTGTAACCCTGTGACGACTGCTGAGTAGCCTGGTCGTCAACCCAAGAAGCGTATGAGTGCCCAGTGAGAACAACTGGGCTCTTCCCTCCAAGCACTAGCCCCATGCCTGATGTACTGCACAAGTAGCGCAGTACCCTCTTAGCAGCAGCCATGTGCTCAGGTCGGTGCCGACCAGGAGCCAAGTAGCGATCCAGAAGACCAAGAGGGTACGCGAGGTCAGGACGAGTGCAAGTCATCAGGTACATGAGGCAGCCAACTAGCTCTGGGTAAGGACCACTCGGCTCTACGGACTCGTCCGAAGGTGGAGCTGAGAGCGAGTGACCTGTAGCCAGAGGAGTGGCCTGTGCCGAGGACCAGGTGAAGCCGAAGCGCTGAAGGACCTGCTGCACCATGTGTGACTGAGTCAGGGTGATGGTGCGGCGTGCTTTGTCCCGGGTGATCTACAAGCCAAGGTAGCTGGTAGTTCACCCAGGTCTGTGCACGTGTGTCTCTTCTGCAGCTCCGACTTCACGTGGGCGAGAGCCTCAGTGTCAGCAGTGGCAAAGACTGAGTCGTCGACGTACACGAGGATGTAGAACGGCGGCAGTGAAGTGTCGGTGTGCAGAAACAGCGATGGGTCAGCAGTAGAAGGGGCGAACCCAAGAGCCGCAAGTGTAGTCCTCAGTGTGTCGTGCCACTCACGTGGCGCCTGGCGGAGACCGTAGACCGGCCGCCGGAGGCTCCACAGGGTACCAGGAGGAAACGACCTAGTGAAGCCAGGAGGGCGGCGCAGCCAGATCTCCTCGTGCAGGCTGCCCTGCAAGAAAGCTGTGCTAAAGTCAAGAGAGTGAAGCTCGTAGTCACGCTGAGTGGCAACGTGCAGCAGCACCCAAAGAGTGGTCATCTTCGGGGTGGGGGAGAAGGTCTGGAAGAAGTCTACTCCCTCTTGCTAACTGAAGCCTCGAGCAACGTAACGAGCCTTGAAGACAGGCAGAGAACCTGACGGCCGCTTCACCCTGAAAATCCACATGCCACTGACGATGTTCGCCCAAGAAGGGGAAACATCGTCGACGTAAGTGCCAGTGGACTTTTAGGATGCCATCTCTGCGTCCATGGCTGTCTGCCACTAAGAAGAGTACTCACTGGCGATCGCCTCAGCGTAAGAGCGCGGGGTTGGGATGTCTGGAGCATCCGGGTCTCCCTTAGGTGCAAGCAGCATGGCCACAAGATGAGGTACAGCAGCGGCAAAGCACTCAAACTCCTCCTACCTGTCCTCAAGGACGTCCGTGCCAAGAGCACACTCACCCCTGACGGACGGAGGACAGACAGACTCAGACTCAGCAACAAGACTGGCAGCGTAGTCTAGACGACAGTGGGCAACAAAGTCGACAAGCTCAGCAACTAAGGCAGACGCATCAGCTGACTCAAAGGAAGGGTCGGTGACAGCAGTAGTGAGGAGACGCGTGACAGTAGGACTAGTAGCACGAAGAGAGTCAGACTCCGGGTCAGCAAGGGCAGAAAGAGAGGACGAAGGAGGAGAAGGCAACGAGACACGCTGGCTCAGATTCCCAACCACTATACCATTGGGATAAAAGGACTTGTTTGTGTAGCAGACCCATAACCCCCCAGGCCAACGCGCCAGTAACCCTTCCCTAGGATCATTCGGGGATCACCAGTAGACCTCTGACAAGCTGTGGAGCAGTGGAAGGATGAAGCGCCATCTGATGAGTGCCTGGGACAGCAGGAGGACGCTGACGCGGGACACGATGACCAGTGCGAGCAGCACGAACAGGTGACGCAGAACGAGACTCAGGCGACACAGGACGAGACTCAGGCTCACGACGCTCCGTAAGACTGCCTGTCGGACCAGTGTAGGGAGAAGGACCAAGGAGCGGCGAGGCAGGCTATAGCCCCTCCACCACCTCCACCGCACCCGCTAGCCCCTCCAGCTCCCTTGCCCCCCTTGCCCTTGCCGGTGCGGCGTCTCCCGCTAGGGGCAGACGCAGTGCCGACCCTGTAGAAACCAACGAGGTCGGCAGCAACAGCAGAAGCAATAGAGGGCAAGTTGGGGGAGGGGGAACACCCCTCAAAGACAGGGGTGCGAGGGTCACCACGAGAGGCTCCTACAGCGACTATGCTCTTCTCTGCTACTAGGAGGCACTCCTCGAGGAGGTCAACGGTGAGTGTGGTGGGGCAAAATGAGAGGAAGTGGTCCCTGACTAAGCGAAGAGAGTTAAGGAGCCGGGTGACTATGTAGTAGAGGGTGATGTACATTGGGGGGGGGTTCTTGGCGCAGAACGCAGTAGGAAGCGCAACGCGGTAGCGAGTGTCACTAGTGCGGAGGTGCGTAATGAGGTCAGCGACTGTGGGAAAGGCAGCAAGGTCAGGGAAGAGGTACGGTGGCATGAGGCGGCTCAGTGCAGCAGTGGCAGGGGAAGAGTAGCGTGCAACTACAGCGTCGTACAAGGTCTGAGCACTCTTGTACTGGCTAAAGTGCGCACGCTCAGTGGTCGGTAAGTGGCGACGCACAGCAAGACGGGCAGCAGCATTGCGTGTCGCCCACTTTGAGCGAACAGTGCTGTCAGCAGTAGCAGGCGGGGCAGGGTAGGCACCAGAGGTGGGGTCGAACAGGGAGAGGCCGTCTGCCCTATCGCACTTGAGGAACATCATCGACCCAGACCTCAAAGTCAATCGCACGACCCTCAGTATCAAAGGTAAGAACACTGGGGGTAGCCATGACTGCAGTGGCCTAGCAAGGAGTGAGCTCACCAGTCCGAGTAAGTGGGGCAGGGGCGCGCCGGTAGGACGAGGAGCAGCTTAACGGCAGGGCGGCTCGGCTGCTCAGCGGCTCAGCTGCTGGGCGGCTCGGCTGTCGAGCGGCTCGGCGGTTCGGCTGCTGGGCGGCTCGACAGCTTGGCTGCTGGGCGGCTCGGCGGCTCGGCTGCTAGGCGGCTCGGCGGCTCGGCTGCTAGGCGGCTCGGCGGCTCGGTTGCTAGGCGGCTCGGCGGCTCGTCTGCTGAGCGGCTCGGCGGCTCTGCTGCTGGGCTGCTCGGTAGGGGCGGCGTTGGGGCCGCTAGGGGCGGCAACGGGGCCACTTAGGGAGGGGAGCGGCGACGGGGCCGTGTAGTGGCGGCAACAGGGCCGCTTAAAGGCGGTGACAGGGCCGCGTAGGGGCGGCAACGGGGCTGCTTAGGGGCGGCGACGGGGCCGCTTAGGGGCGGCGACAGGGGTGCTTAGGGTGAGAGGCGGCGACGGGGCCGGTAGGGGCGGCGACGGGCCGGTAGGGGCGTCGACGGGGCCGCGTATGGGCGGCGACGGGGCTGCGTAGGGTGAGAGGTGGCGATGGGGCCGATAGGGGCGGAGATGTGGCCGCTAGGGGCGCCGATGGGGCCGCGTAGGGGCGGCGACGGGGCCGCGTAGGGTGAGAGGCGACGACGGGGCCGCTAGGGGCGGCGACGGGGCTGCTAAGGGCGGCGACGGGGCCGCGTAGGGGCGGCGATGAGGCCGCGTAGGGTGAGAGGCGGCGACGGGGCCGCTAGGGGCGGCGACGGGCCGCTAAGGGCGGCGACGGGGCCGCGTAGGGGCAGTAACGGGGCCGCGTGAGGGGCGGCGACGAGGCCGCTAGGGGCCACTAGGGGCCTAGAAAGGGCGCCAAAAGGCGCGCCTCGGGCAGGAGCGACTAACGCTCCGGTCAGAAAGGAAATTTTCAGCGGTGGGCCCAAGGAAGCGTTCCCACTAGGGAACCTGCTCTATACCATGTGAAGAATGAGGAATGAATGAACTAGCAAGCAGGTGGGTACAAGTAGGAAAACCTAGAAGTGTTGTACCCCATATAGTCTACCCCACTACAGCCTACACAGACTATAGCATATAAGTTTGACAAGGCTACCCCACAACAGCCTACAAACATATGATATGGTTTTGACACAACCCCATAGGCAAAGTGGGGGAGAAAGAGCGGTCACAAGACCAGTCAAGAAAACCAAAAGAAGCTCAGGATGGATCACAAAGTCACCACACACTCTGGGCACAAGCAAATGGCCACATGGCCAGTCCACATGCAGAGTTATATATATAAAAGACAACAAGCGGGGCAGTGATCACTATCTAGCAAAAGTATGCAGTATGCATGCATGTATATATAATGTCAAGATAGCAAGCAAGAATGATTGCATTGAATGAAATGTGGGTACAAGTACTAACCCTAACTTCGGGTTGTAACCCATACGGGCTACCCCACTATAGCCTACACAGAACTATCACATATATAGTTTGAAACATCCCCATAGGCAAAGTGGGGGAGGACAAGGGTTCACAAGACCAGCCAAGAAAAGCAAAGCAAGCTCGGGGTGGATCACAACGTCACCACACACTCGAGCACAAGCAAAGGGCCACAAGGCTAGTTCACATGCAGAGGTATACATGCAACAACAACAGTACAGTGATCACTACATAGCAAGAGCAAGCATGCATGTATATATATAGATCACAGTACAAGCAAAGTTACCTAGTGAGCAAGTGAGACGAAACAGGCACAAGGTTTAACATAGTACAAAAGCGATGATGATCACTAGACGAAAGTGCCTTTGTGAATATATCAGCATTGTTGGCCCGAGTGGCCACGTGAGCAAGACGAAGCTGACCACGCTGCTGCAACTCTCGAGCTAGGAAGTAACGCAGAGCGATGTGCTTCGTTTTGTGATCCAGTCTGTGCTCCTGACACAAGGCAATGGCGGCATTGTTGTCTACGTACACAACTGGAGGAGAACGAGGCCGCTCTCCCAAGTTGGTCAGTAGGTAGGTGAGCCAGCGTAACTCTTGTGCAGCCATGGCTGTGGCGTAGATCTCAGCCTCACAACTGGAGCTGAGAACAGAAGACGAGCGGGTAGACCGCCAAGAAACAGAGCCGCATCCAAGGCTGAAAGTGTAACCCTGTGACGACCGCTGCGTAGCCTGGTCGTCAACCCAAGAAGCGTCTGAGTGTCCAGTGAGGACAACTGAGCTCCGCCCTCCAAGCACAAGCCCCATGCCCAATGTATTGCACAAGTAGCGCAGTACCCTCTTCGCAGCATCCATGTGCACCTTTCGGTGCATACGAGGAGCCACGTAGCGTGCCGGAAAGGCCAAGAGGTTACGCAAGGTCAGGACGAGTGCAGGTCATCAGTTACATGAGGCAGCCCACTAGCTCTGGGTACGGGCCACTCGGCTCTACGGACTCGTCCGAAGGTGGAGTTGAGAGCAAGTGACCTATAGCCAGAGGAGTGGACTTTGGCGAGGACCAAGTAAAGCCGAAGCGCTGAAGGACCTGCTACACCATGTGTGACTGAGTCAGGGTGATGGTGCGGTGTGCTCTGTCCCGGGTGATCTGCAAGCCAAGGTAACTGTGCAGCTCACCCAGGTCTATGCACGTGTGTCACTTCTGGAGCTCCGACTTCACAAGGGCGAGAGCCTTAGTGTCACTTATGGCAAAGACCAAGTCGTCGACGTACACGAGGATGTAGAGCGGTGGCTGTGAAGTGTTGGTGCGTAGAAACAGCGACGGGTCAGAAGTGGAAGGGGCAAACCCAAGAGCCGCAAGTTTCGTCCTGAGTGTGTCGTGCCACTCACGAGGCGCGTGACGGAGACCGTAGAGTGGCCGACAGAGGCTCCACTGGGTACCAGGAGGGAACTACCAAGTGAAGCCAGGTGGACGGTGCAGCCAGATCTCCTCGTGCAGGCTGCCCTGTAAGAACGCTGTGCTGAAGTCCAGAGAGTGAAGCTCGTAGTAACGCTGAGCGAAAACGTGCAGCAGCACCCGAAGAGTGGTCATCTTTGGGGTGGGGGAGAAGGTCTGGAAGAAGTCAACTGCCTGTTGCTGACTGAAGCCTCGTGCAACGTAACGAGCCTTGAAGACAAGCGGAGAACCTGGCGGCCGCTTCACCCTGAAAATCCACATGCCATCGACGATGTTTGCTCCAGGAGGGAGAACCTCATCGACGCAAGTGCCTTTGGACTTCCAGGATGCCATCTCTGCGTCCATGGTTGTCTGCCACTGAGAGGAGTAGGGATGTCTGGTGCATCTGTGTCTCCCTCAGGGGCAGACAGCATGGTTGTCCACAACCTTCAGCTCCAACGCCTCCAGCAGCAGCACCTCCAGCTCCAGTGACTCTAGCAGCAGCACCTCCAGCTCCAGCGCCTCCAGCAGCTTTAGAACCTCCAGCTCCAGCGACTCCAGCACCAGCACCTCCAGCTCCAGCGCCTCCAGGAGCTCCAGAATCTCCAGCTCCAGTGCCTCCAGCAGGACCACCTCCAGCCCCAGAGACTCCAGCAGTAGTATCTCTAGCTTCAGCGCCTCCATCAGCTCCAGAACCTCCAGCTCCAGCGCCACCAGTAGCAGCACCCCCACAACCGGCACCTCCGGCCTCAAGGTCCCCAACTCCAGGGTCAACAGGACCAGCGCCAGGGGCTCGAGCAGCAGTGCCCCCAAAACCGGCACCTCCAGCTCCAGGGTCTCCAATGCCAGGGTTGACAGCACCAGCTCCAAGGCCTCCAGCACCAGTATCTTCAGCAGCAGCACCCCCAGAACCGGCACCTCCAGCTCCAGGGTCTCCAACGCCAAGGTCGACAGCACCAGCTCTAGGGCCTCCAGCCCTAGTACCTCCAGCAGAAGCACCCCCAGAACCGACACCTCCAGCTCCGGGAGCAGTACCAGTCTCGATAGCTCCAGTACCTCCAGTACGAGCACCTCTAGGACCAGAGACACCAGCACTCCCAGCGCCTCCACGACAAGCAGCTCCAGCAGAACAACTCCTCAGGTGGGTACGCGACACAAGCCACTCTCGTGCCTACTGTGGTGAGACAGGCCCGCGTCGTGAAACGAGAGAGGAACGCCAGCAGACTCAGCACCCCCAGGCTCCACACCCCCCGGCACCTCACGGACGGGCTCAGCACCCCCAGACTCCGCAGCCGCAGGCTCAGCACCCCCAGGCTCCGCACTCCCCAGCACCTCACGCGCAGGCTCAGCACCCCCAGAAGCAGCACCCCCAGCAACACCTCCCGCAGCAGCACCTGAGTCGCTAGTGACCTCTACAGGCTCAGCCAAGGGGGGCGGGTCTACCTGAGACACACCTGAAGGAGCAGGACCCTGAGGGGGAAGGGGTTCTACCGGAGGGGAACCTGGAGCGAGGAAAAGTGGCGGGGGAGGGAGAGGGACAGTGCGGTAGGGAAAGAGACGGTAGAAAGGAACCGACTCGTCAAAGGTTACGTCCTGAGAGGGGAAGACACGGCGCGAGGTGGGGTGGTAAAACTGCCAGCCAGGCGCGTCAGGGACAAAGCCAAGGACGACACAGGGAATGGTGCAGGAGGAGAGCTTGTCCGCGGACGTATCGCGGACAAGGGCACGAGCACCCCAGACCCGGAAACGCGACGCATCCCCAACCTCCCCCGTCCAACGCAGTGTGGGCGAGGTCTCCGGCAAGGGGACACGGGGCCAGAGGTTGAGCTGCTGCGCGGCGTACCGGACCGCAAATGGCCTCTGAAAACGGGGAGCCGCTGCATGGATCAATGTCAAATGTCATATCTGCTATATTTTGTTTAGGCTGTAGTGGGGTAGTTACTATGGGGTACAGTAAGTTTAGGGTTTCCTACTTGTACCCAACTCTTTCCTAGTTCAATCACCCTTGTTGATTCTGACATGGTATCACGAGCCTAGGTTGCCACCTAGGACCGCTTACTACTACGGGCCCACTATTCCGCTAGAAGCGCCCTCGCGCGCCCTACCTTACGTGCGCCCTCGTGCGCCCTCGTGCGCCTTTTTCTGCTAGTGCGCCCTCGTGCGCTTCGCCCTTCGTTCTGCCCGCGCGCCGTCCTGTAGCCCTCGCGCTGCCTCCTGCTGCCCTAGGCCAGTGCGCCGCCCCTGCAAGCTAGTAAGTCCCTCGAGCCGCCCCTGCAGGTCCGTCAGGCCCCCGAGCCGCCTCTGCAGACCCGTTAGGCCCCCGAGCCGCCTCTGCAGGCCCGTCAGGCCCGAGAGCCGCCCCTGCAGGCCCGTCAGGTCGGCGCGCTGCCCCTGCAGGGCCACGCCGCCCGCGCGCAGCTTCTGCCCGGCCGCGCGCCGCCCCTGCAGGCCCTCGCCGCCCGCACGCAGCCTCTGCAGGCCCGTCAGGCCAGCGCGTGACCCCGTCAGGTCGCTGTCGCGGCCCCGTCAGGCCGCAGTCGTGGCCCCGCCTGGTCGCTGACGCGGCCCCACCCTACCGCGGTCGCGGCCCCGCCCTGCCACCGACGCGGACGCGGCCCCGCCCTGCCGTGACGCGGCCCCGCCAGCCCTGCAGCTGACGCGGCCGCGCCCTACTGCTGACGCGGCCGTGCCCAGCTGCTACCGCATCTTCGCCCCCTGCCCGCCGCGTCGCCCCTGCCCGCGACGTCGCCCTGCCCGCCGCGTCTCCCTGCCCGCCGCGTTGCCCCTGCCCACCGCGTCGCCCCTGCCCGCGACGTCGCCCTGCCCGCCGCGTCTCCCTGCCCGCCGCGTTGCCCCTGCCCGCCGCATTGCCCTGCCCTACCCCGCGCTTGGAGGAGCCGCGCCTGGAGCAGCCGCCCCTGGAGTAGCCACCCCTGGACCAACCGCCCTTGCAGCAGCCGCCACTACAGCAGCCGCCTCGGGCCCCTGGAGCGGCCGCCCCTGCAGCAGCTGCCTCTGGCCACTGGAGCAGCCGCCCCTGGCCACTGGAGCAGCCGCCACTACAGGAGCCGCCCAAGGCCCCTGGAGCAGCCGCCCCTGGAGCAGCCGCCCCTGCAGCAGCGACCGTCGCGGCTCGGTCCCGCCCTGCAGCAACTGCCGTGGAGCTTCCTGCCGGGGTCACGGCCCTGCCCTGCCGCTGTAGCGGCCCCGCAGTCGCCTTCGTCGTGCGCCTGCCCTTCCCACCACTGGTGAGCACTGCCCTACCTGTGCTGCTACTGCTGTTACTGCTGCTGCTACTGCTACTGCTGCTCCTGCTGCTCCTGCTTCTACTGCTGCTCCTGGCGTGGCCAGATGCAGCTCTAGGGCCGTCCGCGTGTGTCCCTCATGCCCCAGCAGCTTCGTGAGTGGTACGCCAGTTGGGGTTGTCGGGGTGGCAGTAGTGGGAGTCATCGTGGAGTGGGTAGTTCAGGAGCTTCTTGTAGTGGCCCTGTGCAGCAGCAGTGTCATCCGCGCGAGACTCTTTCGCCCCAGCAGCTTCGTGAGTGGTACGCTCAGAGTAGAGGGTCGCTGAGTAATGCTCGCTGCCCGTACGTTATTAGCACGGGTGTTCGGACTGGTCAGCCTTGCGGGACGCGTGGTCACACAGAGTCCCGCTGCTTCGCCCGTCTGAGCGACGCTTGGCGTACAGAGCTTGGCGACGACGCTGAGCTCCCCGACTAGGTGGAGCTGCTTAGGCAGAGGGTAGATATCTTTGCTCTTGCCTATGATGATGTTCTCACTGCAATGTATGCATTGTCTACTAGTGCCAAGGGAGCCTGTCACCTGTGTGTGCCGCCTGACCCCGGTATCCAGTCTGCTACTCCAATTGCCGGTGAGGCTGCCGCTCTAGGTGCTAGTGCGTCTGCTGCCCCTGGTCCTGGTGAGGCTGCTGCTCTAGGCGCAGGTGTGTCTGCTGCTTCAGGTGCTTGTGAGTGTGCGCCTATTGAGGCACTGCACACCTTCACACTGGACTCAAGTGCTTCCCGCTGTTTCTTTCGCGACCGCACTGCCCTCGAGCAGCTCCTTAGGCTGGTTGCTGTCTCCCTGGCTGACCCCTCCAGGGGTCCGGTCCTTGCGACCTCCACCACTGCCCTCCCTTGTGCTACTGTCCTGTCTGGCACACTATCAGGCCTTTACCTCCCCTCATTCTCTACGGACTTGGTGGCGGGTTCCGAGCTCTAGGACGCAGGTGTTCACCAATTCACCCCTGCCTACGAGCGTGTGACACACTGCACGTGTGCCCAGACGGGTCGTCACCTGGCTACCTTCACTCGGCAGGCGGGGTTGGACTTGTACACACTGACCACTAAGTCCCCTCAGGTAGCAGCGTCCGCGTCTGCGTCAGGTCAGTTTTCCGCCCCCTGCTCGTATCGCACCCTGTCGCACCGGACGGTCCTCTGGCACCACCGCCTTGGGCACCCTTCGATGCAGCGCCTTCGTGGCATGCACTCTCATTTCCTTGTCTCTGGTCTTCCCAGATCATTGCCTCCACTGCCACTGTTCCTTGCCCCTCCTTGCCTTCCCTGTGACGAGGGGCGGCAGCGTGCCACTCCTCACTCCTCTGAGTTCCCCCTGACGGAGGCTCCTCTGCAGACCCTTCACACGGACGTGTGGGGCCCAGCCCGCGTCCATGGACAGGGCGGAGAGCGCTACTTCCTGCAGGTAGTTGACGACTACACGCATTACACCACGGTCTTCCTCTTGCACAGCAAGGGAGAGGTCCCTGCTGTCTTGATCCCTTGGATCCGCGCTACTCGTCTGCAGCTGGAGAGGCGCTTTCGCACGGACCTTCCCGTGCGACTGCACTCTGACAGAGGTGGGGAGTTTTCCTCCGGCCTCTTGGAGGCCTTCTGTCAGGGGGAGGGCATTGAGCAGACTTTCACGCTTCCGGCCTCTCCTCGGCAGAATGGGGTTGCTGAGCGCCGCATTGGCTTGGTCATGGAGGTCGCTCGTACCTCCTTGATCCATGCGGCTGCCCCCCATTTTCTGTTGCCGTTTGCGGTCTGGTACACCGTGCATCAGCTCAACCTATGGCCCTGTGTCTCCGTTCCGGAGACCTCGCCGACACTGCGTTGGATGGGAGCGGTTGGTGATGCGTCTGTGTTCCGTGTCTGGGGATCTCGTGCCTTTGTCCGCGATACGTCCGCGGACAAGCTCTCCTCCCTCGCTGTTCCTTGTGTCTTCCTGGGCTTTGTCCCTGACGCGCTTGGCTGGCAGTTTTACCACCCCACCTCGCGCCGTGTCTTCCCCTCTCAGGACGTCACGTTTGACGAGTCGGTCCCCTTCTACCGTCTCTTCCTCTACCGCACTGCCCCGCTCCCCCCTCCGCCGCTTCCTCACGCCAAGTGCTGCTTCGGTAGACCCCCTGCCTCCCCAGGGTCCTGCTCCCTCAGGTGTTTCCCAGGTAGACCCGGTCGAGTATGTCGAGGTAGCTGTCGACTCTGGTCATGCGCGAGGTACTGAGCGTGCTGAGCCTGAGCATACTGCGACTGGGGGTGCTGAGCCTGGGAGTGCGGAGACTGGGGGTGCTGAGCCTGGGGGTGCGGAGACTGCGGGTGCTAAGCTTGGGGGTGCTGAGACTGGGGGTGCTGTCCCTGGGGGTGCTGTCCCTGGGGGTGCTGAGTCCGGAGGTCCTGATCCTGGGGGTGCTGCGCCTAGGGGCATTCTCTCTTCCCAGCAACTGCGTGAGTGGTACTCTCGGTACTGTCGCCGCCGCCGTGGTGCTGTGGGAGCTGGTGGTGCTTTTGGAGCTGGAGCTGAGGGCGCTGAGCCTACTGGAGTTGGTGTTGCTGCTGACCCTGGGGTTGGCGCTGGAGGTGCTGGAGCCACTGGTCCTGGAGGTGCTCGTACTGGCGGTACTGGAGCTGCTGGGACTGGGGGTGCTACTGGAGCAGCTGGAGCTGGTCTTGCTGGAGGTGCTGCTGGTGCTGCAGGAGGTACTGGAGCTGCTGGTGGTGCGGCTCGTGCTGGTGCTGCTGGAGGTACTGGAGCTGCTGGAGTTGCTGCTAGTGCTGGTCCTGCTAGAGGTGCTCCTGGTGCTGCTGGAGGTAATGGAGCTGCTGGTGGTGCTGAGGGAGTTGGGGTTGCTGCTGGAGGTTCTGGTGCTGTCTTTGCTGGTTCTGGGGGCACTTCACGGCCACATCCGGACTTCGTTCCCCTCCATCAGCAGGTTCTTGGTCAGCCGCCTCCTCCTTGTCTTGCTCCCTCCTTAGAGTGTCCTCCGCCTGTCCATTCGCTGTCACACTTACCGCCTGCCTCGCCACTCCCTGGTCGTTCTCCCTTCACTGGTCCGACAGGCGGTCTTACGGAGCGTCGCGAGCCTGAGTCTCGTCCTATGTCGCCTGAGTCTCGTTCTGCGTCACCTGTTCGTGCTGCTCGCACTGGTTGTCGTGTCCCACGTCAGCGTCCTCCTGCTGTCCCAGGCACTCACTAGATGACGCTTCGTCCTTCCACTGCTCCACAGCGTGTCCCGCTGCCTTCTCCTCCTGCGTCCTCTCTTCCTGCCCTTGCTGACCCGGAGTCTGACTCTCTTCGTGCTGCTAGTCCTACTGTCATGCGTCTCCTGGCCACTGCTGTCACTGACCCTTCCTTTGAGTCAGCTGTTGCGTCGGCCTTATTTGCTGAGCTTGTCGACTTTGCTGCTCACTGTCGTCTAGACTACGCTACTCGTCTTGTTGCTGAGTCTGAGTCTGAATCTGTCTGTCCTCCGTCCGTCGGGGGTGAGTGTGCTCTTGGCACAGACGTCCTTGACGACAGGCAAGAGTAGTTTGAGTGCTTTGCGGCCGCTGTACCTCATCTCGTGTCCATGTTGATTGCACCTGAGGGAGACCCGGATGAACCAGACATCCCGACCCCGCGCTCTTA